AAAAAAGTGAACAAGTAGGCAACCTGGAGCTCTGAGAATAATGCGCTGCTTCGACCCTGACTTCAGCGCCACTATCACCAGCCTGAAATGGATTGAGAACGCAAATCCCCCTTTTTCCTCATGAAGCAGAACTCAATTCCCGCCTGTTTGGCTGATGTTTCTTTCAATGGAGCTGTGGTAGAAGCCCTTAGAAAGCAGCATGTTCAATCATGTTCATTCATGCAAATGCCAAACAAAGCAGTACACTTGGATCTCTACTGATATACTCTCCTTGAAACATATCAAAACAAGACTTGGTCTCTGGCACGTCACCCAATTCCACGTGAACATCTGATGCCTTCCGACAAAGGCATGGTGAAAACTGCTTGGCTCTGCTGCAAAATAAGCTGCTGCCGCACCTGCTTCGGTATTTCCGCTGTTGCAGCAGGTCTTTCTGATGTCTCCGCAACAGGTGACCTAAGCATGCAGCTAAACCAAACCAAAGTGAAGTGGTTCCGCCATTCTTGCATGCCTGCTGTGTCACCTTCACAACTGGTCTGCAAACAGCCTTTCCAGAACTTCCCATCATCTCAATACATTCTTCATAGAAAAAAGTGAACAAGTAGGCAACCTGGAGCTCTGAGAATAATGCGCTGCTTCGACCCTGACTTCAGCGCCACTATCACCAGCCTGAAATGGATTGAGAACGCAAATCCCCCTTTTTCCTCATGAAGCAGAACTCAATCCCCGCCTGTTTGGCTGATGTTTCTTTCAATGGAGCTGTGGTAGAAGCCCTTAGAAAGCAGCATGTTCAATCATGTTCATTCATGCAAACGCCAAACAAAGCAGTACACTTGGATCTCTAATGCTATACTCTCCTTGAAACATATTTAAACAAGACTTGGTCTCTGGCACGTCACCCAGTTCCACGTGAACATCTGATGCCTTCCGACAAAGGCATGGTGAAAACTGCTTGGCTCTGCTGCAAAATAAGCTGCTGCCGCACCTGCTTCGGTATTTCCGCTGTTGCAGCAGGTCTTTCTGATGTCTCCGCAACAGGTGACCTAAGCATGCAGCTAAACCAAACCAAAGTGAAGTGGTTCCGCCATTCTTGCATGCCTGCTGTGTCACCTTCACAACTGGTCTGCAAACAGCCTTTCCAGAACTTCCCATCATCTCAATACATTCTTCATAGAAAAAAGTGAACAAGTAGGCAACCTGGAGCTCTGAGAATAATGCGCTGCTTCGACCCTGACTTCAGCGCCACTATCACCAGCCTGAAATGGATTGAGAACGCAAATCCCCGTTTTTCCTCATGAAGCAGAACTCAATTCCCGCCTGTTTGGCTGATGTTTCTTTCAATGGAGCTGTGGTAGAAGCCCTTAGAAAGCAGCATGTTCAATCATGTTCATTCATGCAAACGCCAAACAAAGCAGTGCACTGGTTGGGTCTCTAATGCTATACTCTCCTTGAAACATATTAAAACAAGACTTGGGCTCTGGCACGTCACCCAATTGCACGTGAACATCTGATGCCTTCCGACAAAGGCATGGTGAAAACTGCTTGGCTCTGCTGCAAAATAAGCTGCTGCCGCACCTGCTTCGGTATTTCCGCTGTTGCAGCAGGTCTTTCTGATGTCTCCGCAACAGGTGACCTAAGCATGCAGCTAAACCAAACCAAAGTGAAGTGGTTCCGCCATTCTTGCATGCCTGCTGTGTCACCTTCACAACTGGTCTGCAAACAGCCTTTCCAAGAACTTCCCATCATCTCAATACATTCTTCATCATTCTTCATAATCTTCATAGAAAAAAGTGAACAAGTAGGCAACCTGGAGCTCTGAGAATAATGCGCTGCTTCGACCCTGACTTCAGCGCCACTATCACCAGCCTGAAATGGATTGAGAACGCAAATCCCCCTTTTTCCTCATGAAGCAGAACTCAATTCCCGCCTGTTTGGCTGATGTTTCTTTCAATGGAGCTGTGGTAGAAGCCCTTAGAAAGCAGCATGTTCATTCATGCACGAAAAAGCGAGACAGGTTCAGAAATTGGATGAGGAAATCTGCTTAGCATCTAGCGCTTCACCTGATTCCGTGTGGACTTCTGCTGCCTTTTCGCGGGTAGAAGGCCAAAGATCTTGACAGATGCGGCAGATGCAACACAAATCAGCACCCACCTGTTTCGGTATTTCGGATGTTGCTGCAGGTCTTTCTGATGTCTCTGCAACTGGTGACCTAGGGTGCATTGACTTTGAAATCAAGTGCAACCAGTTTCGCTCACCCCAACACATCCAAGATATGGTGGAAACGTCTGTGAGCCTGGCCCTCCTTCCATCCTGACTTCTCCCCTGACCTGGCATTGGAAGCAGCTTGCTCTTGGGGTTGGTAAGTCATGGCAAGTCGTGCTGTTTCCAACCTCCAGAACCTGATGGAACTTCAAATACTTAATACAAAGCTGGTCAAAGTTTCGGACATTGGCTATTTAGTCTTGATATGTCTTGATAGGTCTTGATATGTCTTGATACCTTTGCGGGGCCGAAAAAACGCATCCTGCGGCCCTAAAAGAAAATCGGCAACTTTTTGGTAGAGCCTCTCCAGCTGGCGCCGCAGTGGAAGGCCTCAGATAGGTGGCTTTTGGCCAGTTTAGCATCAAAACATCCCATTTTTGGAGAATCACAAAAAGTTGGACGTCTAATGGGACACGGTACCCCCAAATGACCATGGGAAAATGATCTTTCGTTGGGAATTTGGTTTTTTTTTGGGGGGTGCCCTTTTTTCAGACTCCGGCTGCGACTCTTCGGGGTGGAGATCTGCAGCCTGCTCAACACTCAACTCTTCGGAGAGGAATGGTGGAGGTTGTCTTAAACTGGGTCAGAAAATCTGGGTATATACCGGAAAAAACTTCAAATGATCATGTTGAGTATGGGGAAATGATGATACACCATAAAATTTGGGGTTCCAATGTTTGAGACAAACCCGTACCGACATGCGCAGAATTGGGCCGAACTGGATCATTCGGCAAAATCGAGTCATTAATTTTCCTCCTCTGCAAAATGTTCAAAAACAGTTTGCAGCGGTCAGGGTCTCCGAATATTTCGTTCAGAAACAATACCAGAACTGATCCGTTTCACGGAATCCCAAAACTCTCGGTCATTGGGGATCCTCCCCCAACATGGTACAAGACATGACACCAATAAAAATCAGATTTGAAAATCTTTGAAGCCCAAGTCATTTTGGGGGACTCATGCAAAGAGGTCCACCTGTCCACCAGGTGCTTCAGTGGGAATGGATTCCACGGGCAAAGGCGGTCGTGTTGGCAGCTCCTGGAGGTTGCAGCAACAATTTGGGCAAAGTAACAACGCCAAAATTGGGAAGCTACTATACATTACTATACTCTATCCATCTCTATCCTCAAATCGTCCAGGTGTTGACATACATTACCCCTCTTGGGCCCCCAGTTCATCATTGTAATGGTCCCAAAAAATGTCCAGTTTTTCTCTGGTTTCCTGCCATTCCCAACTCTCCTGCACCGCGGTGAAACCCAGGCTGCCATCGTCCAGCGCTGCAGTTTGCCTTGATTTTTAAAGCCGGACAAAGACGTTTGGATTTTCAATGTTTTAAGATGTTTTAAGTCCTTTTGTCCTTGGAACCAGAATTGCAGAATTGCCATGGTTCGTTCGGGACCAATTTCCTATCAGAATATCATTTTTCTTATGCACAGCACTGCAATTCTGAGACCTCTCGCTGGGCAGGGCGTTCTGGTGATGCCACAGGCTTTTCCTGTGCCACCTGAAGTGATTTTACAGGAGGAGATCCAATTGGACCGGAGACTTCCCCAGGTATCAAGTGCATCCCTCGCCTCGGATCCAGGTGACGGTGACCCAGGTGACCCAGGTGACCCAGCAGGTTCTCTCACTTCACCCACTCCATTGCCAATCGCCTAACCAACCGACGCGTGGGGGAAGAGTTTGGGGCTCAAGTTGAACAGTGCCATTGAACGCTGCCTTTGAAGACTTTGTGAACACTCCATGGTCCATAGTGCAAGGTTACGAGTCGAGAGAGTTGCTTAAGGCTTAAGGCTGGATATGAAGGGCCTAAGATGAAATCAATGTCTTTGTCATATCAGAAACATCCATGATGTCTGCTGCACTGCAGCCTGCCATGCTTCTGCAACCCTTAAAATTCCGATCCCTTCCAAGTCAGGATCTGCAGGCTGCCTCTGGATCAGTCTTGCCGATCTCCTGTGACGACCAGCAAGATCACAATACCAGCAATGGTGAGGTGTCTTGACCCAGCATCTCATGGGAAGTTTTTGGGCTATACATTCCCAATGCCAAACTATTTCTGATCATCTGACATTCAATAGCTGCCCCCCACCCACGCCTGGGTTGTTTGGACACTGGTGGAGACTGGCTCGCTCTCCTGTTGCCGCAAATTCTAGGTGGGCCGCTTTCTCTTTGCCTTTGCCCTTCGGCAAACTAAGATGGCAATGGAAAGCAAGCGGAAATCATACACACCAGTCACCAGTCATCACCAGTCCCTCTTCTGTCAGGACATCAGGACTTCAAATGCCAAGTGACAAGAAGAGCAACACAGTTGGCTCTGGCTCCTTTGAGCGCTCTGTCTCAATTCCCACGTTCACCAGATCCTTCAACAAAACACTTGCATGGATAGACAAGTTTCAATCATTGAGGCATCCAACATGTCATCAACCCTCACTAGTGGACACTACATCACATCAAAGGCACCTGGTCTGCTTCCGTGCGTTCGTTGTTTGGCTGGCGTTCCTGCCAACATGTCGCTGAACGTGCTTGCATGATTGCTAGGCCTCATATCTCGTGCATCACCTAAAATCAGAAAACTTCCAGGTGACGCTCTACAAACGTTCACGCTTCTAGATCAAAAGTGGTCTGGATGTATATAGTTTGCTTCATCGACATTTCAGTCCAGTGTTCTTTTCAGTTCTGGCACTGTAGACGCAAATCTTAAGGACAACATCAAAGCCTCATTTCTTGGTTTGCACGTTGCTTCTGTCGGTTTGCAAACGAGAACACATTTGGATGGAAACCATGGATGGAGCAGTCTATACACAGTTCTGCTCATTTTGCAGCTCTTCTCAAAGAAAAAAAGCGGGTGCAAGGTCCTTTGCGCCCTCCATCTCAACTCCAACACGCACAAGATCCTTCAAGAGCAGAATTGCAAGCAGAAAAAAAAAAACATGAAAAAATAACACAAAATACAGTAAAACTTGAAGGTCTGGCTCTTAGGCATCATGAAGGATTCAACAGTAGCGTTTAAAGTCCATCGTCCACGACCAAAGTATCAGCTCCTGGTCTGCTTCTGTTGTCGAGTCCGGTTGACGTTCCTGTTGACTCTCAAAACCATGTGTTGTTCAAACGAATTCGCACCGAAAAAAACACATACGGCTCTGGATCAAAACCTATGAAATATACCATGACCATGATTATGTAGGAATGAACATCCAGTTATTTTGTTGTTCACCAGTGTATCAGGGATTCGAATGGTTTCGATCCATAGCCATGTCATAACAACACCCCTCCGTGATACGTCACAATACCAGCTGCATAAGAGATGCTCGGTGAGATAGTGATTGGCTTGGATTGAAATGTCATACCAGTAAGTAAGTACCCTGGTGTTCTTCAGATTCCTGCAGCCTATAATACTATATACTGATCTCACCAAACCTAGGCTGCTACAGAGCTCACACATCGCTGTCTGAAAGAATGAAGTTTGGCGAAGCGTCCTTTGCGTCCTCCGTATCAACTCCAACACGCACAAGGTCCTGAAAAAGACAAGAAGGACGAAGTATCGGAGCATACGGAACACAAAAACCAAGCTGCTCTTGTAGCTGGAGCTGAAAAAATGTAGCCGCTGACTTTGGTCAAAATTTGGGATAATGTGGTTAAAACAATAATGAACCACCCATTTGGGAATTGTTTATACAACCATTTATGGTGATTTAGGGGATGGCTTATTATTATTTTAACCACATTATTGTCAGTTTTCTTTCAAAGCAACTCTAACCAAGGCTCCGGGTCTTCTGCCCGTGTAGATTCCGGCTGGCGTTCCTGTCGACGAAAGCGACACACAGCTCTTGATTTCCCCACTAAGATCCATCAAAACGTCACCCCTTCCTTGCGTTTCGTTGACTTGCAACACTAATATACACAAGTCAATTCCTGCGCCCTAAAAATGTGTTCACAAATCTGAAGAAGTTCTGAGTTCAATTCGGCGCAGCGTCCTTTGCGTCCTCCGTCCTTTGCGTCCTCCGTATCAACTCCAACACGCACAAGGTCCTGAAAAAGACAAGAAGGACGAAGTATCGGAGCATACGGAACACAAAAACCAAGCTGCTCTTGTAGCTGGAGCTGAAAAAATGTAGCCGCTGACTTTGGTCAAAATTTGGGATAATGTGGTTAAAACAATAATGAACCACCCATTTGGGAATTGTTTATACAACCATTTATGGTGATTTAGGGGATGGCTTATTATTATTTTAACCACATTATTGTCAGTTTTCTTTCAAAGCAACTCTAACCAAGGCTCCGGGTCTTCTGCCCGTGTAGATTCCGGCTGGCGTTCCTGTCGACGAAAGCGACACACAGCTCTTGATTTCCCCACTAAGATCCATCAAAACGTCACCCCTTCCTTGCGTTTCGTTGACTTGCAACACTAATATACACAAGTCAATTCCTGCGCCCTAAAAATGTGTTCACAAATCTGAAGAAGTTCTGAGTTCAATTCGGCGCAGCGTCCTTTGCGTCCTCCGTCTCAACTCCAACACGCACAAGGTCCTGAAAAAGACAAGAAGGACGAAGTATCGGAGCATACGGAACACAAAAACCAAGCTGCTCTTGTAGCTGGAGCTGAAAAAATGTAGCCGCTGACTTTGGTCAAAATTTGGGATAATGTGGTTAAAACAATAATGAACCACCCATTTGGGAATTGTTTATACAACCATTTATGGTGATTTAGGGGATGGCTTATTATTATTTTAACCACATTATTGTCAGTTTTCTTTCAAAGCAACTCTAACCAAGGCTCCGGGTCTTCTGCCCGTGTAGATTCCGGCTGGCGTTCCTGTCGACGAAAGCGACACACAGCTCTTGATTTCCCCACTAAGATCCATCAAAACGTCACCCCTTCCTTGCGTTTCGTTGACTTGCAACACTAATGTACACAAGTCAATTCCTGCGCCCTAAAAATGTGTTCACAAATCTGAAGAAGTTCTGAGTTCAATTCGGCGCAGCGTCCTTTGCGCCCTCCGTCTCAACTCCAACCCGCACAAGGTCCTGAAAAAGATCGGTGGGACACCCAGAGATCGGCCTGGGTAATGTCCAACGATGTCAAAAATCTGCTGTTTGTAGCACTCAGGAAAAGTATTCAAAGGGCCAACAGTGCAGCTCGCGTAAATCTCGGAATGACCACAAATTTTGTTGGCAACTATTCTCAGTCTCATCGTTGATTGCCCATGGTTGATCATTTCTGTTGGTTTGCACTTGCATCACAATGTTTGTCAATTGGCATCCCTAGTTCATTAATCTCCATTTTTCTTGATGATGCAAATCTCAAAAAAAATTGTTGCACATGCCCATGTCATATATGTCATTTCAGGCTTTCTCTGAAAATAGACAAACCCCCAAATCTCATATGTTTCACCACATTTTTTCCCGTCACATTGCCCCGAAAAAAATTCGGGGCCGCCTCATCCACAGTAGTGGAGCTGCGCTCCTTCTCCTTCCACCGCAGGGGCTTCAGACCCACAACTTGGTGGGTCAAAAACCAGTGGACAAAAACCATGATTTTTTGGCAAAAAAACAGCCAAAAAATCATTAAAAAAATCTATGATCTCCATGATTTCGGGAGAGTTGAAGAGTTGAACCAACCAAGAATTTGGAGTGACTTGATACAACCGATCACTTGACATGGGGATCCTTGGGGTTTTGCGGCTAAACCTTTGCCGAGAGTTTGGACTTGAGGCTTTTAATTCATGATGTGTCCAACGAAAAAAATGAATGCAATCACTCAAGAACTTGGAGTCGAACATGAAATGTTCGTTGGTTTCAATGGAAAGTTCACGGAAACACCGTAATTTTTACTGTGCTGCACAAGCAGCAAGACTTCCAGCAAGTGTTCCCCTCAACATCTCCTTTGAGGTATAACATTTTTTGTAGCGTCTACCAATTTGGGCCCAAGTGGATACCCCAGGATCCATTGAAATCCCATGTTGTGTTCATTGTTTCCCCCATCACATAGAGTGGCACTTTCATGGCTATCCCCCATTTTTTGCAAAATCCCACTCATGTTGTTGATTATATCCCACTACATTCCCATTCTATCCTCACTCTATCCCGATAAAAGTACTATATCAAGCAATCCCCATAAGAATTGCTGAGTTGGGTTTCCAACATCTCCACAATCAATCCCCAATCAATCCCCTACATCTCCATTTATTGCTGGGTTTAAAACCCCCCTCATTGTCAGGTCGTCATGTCAGGTCCTCCTTTGAGTTTCCCCTTCCATCGTTGTCCACATGCACCGCATCCTGAGGCACAAGATCCTTGGTGAATACATGTTCTTATAATCAATGTTAATGGACGTTGATGAATGTTGATCATTCAATGTATGTTGCTGGATGTGAAAACTATGCATGTCCGCTCGTGATATTCTTAGATCCTGGATGTTGTATGTTGATCATTGAATGGATTTATATCACCGAATTGTTGCCGAACAACCAGTGAGTGGATGGCGAAATGATTTCCCTAATGAAAACTTTCGCATCTTGGATTCCACATTGGTCCCCAATCGCTGACCACACCGCACAACCGTTGCCTCCTGCACACTTGGGGGCGCATCCTCGGCGACGTGCACATCCTGGGAAAATTGACCCCAGATGGGTGGCTTCTGAAGCATCCCCATTCCGTGCCTCGGAATCTTCCTGGATATGCTTGTATTTCTTGATCACTTCCTGGCTGATTCAGCCATGAAAGGTGGGCTCAGCAGTCGCAGTCGAGGATACAGATAGTATCATTAGCTAGTTTAAAATATTGAAAAATATTGAAAACCGACCTGCCCAGCGAATGGAAACTGACTTCCAATTGTTTGAAACAGCCATCAATTGGTGGAAACTATCTGTGCTCAATAAAAAACCATCTTTCAGGCTGGATGCTTTCAGCTGGGGGCGGGGGCCCAACCCGCGCAAAGCAACTCCTCTGTTGATGACTCGCCCACTGGAAAAACGGGATAAATCAACCAGGGTTTTACCCAAGGTTGAGAGTCATTCAGTCATCCCCAATTTTCTGGTTGTTTCTTCAAGCGGACGGCACAGCAAAATTTGTCACAACCTGTTCAACCGATATAATCTATATATATAATATACACATAATCCTCCGCACTGCTGCAGAACCCAAAGCTTGTGCCTTCCGGCGCGCTGCCAGATTGCCGTGAGGAAGGAGTTCTGGAATCAGGCCCAACCTGATTCCAGACCAAACTGGAACCCAGCATGAGTCATGAGCAGGTCTGCTTTGAGGTTTGGCCCAAACATCACCACAGAGACTTTGATGTTCATCAAAGAAATTCCGAAAAAAAGAAAGGTTCGAAAAGAAAGGTCAACTGATGGTTGTCACCAGCACTGATCCAGCCAGCTGCTTTGATCATCGTCACATGCTGAAGCTCTGTGAGTGGCCGGCAGGAAAAGCACCATCCTGGCTGTGTCAGATCAAACATCAACTGGCAAATGTTTTTCCAACTTTCTGGCAGTACCCCCAATTATATCCCCAATTCTATGGAGGACGACACTAGGGATCTCACACGCCGAGCATCACCCGGGACACTATGGTGTTGAGCCTGGCGAGTGGAGACCCCTCAACCAAACATTATCTTTTAAAAATACATCAAATCATAGAGTAATATGTAGGTCAATGTAGGTGATCTTTACAACAGGATTATATGGGACGTGTTCCCAACAGGAGATGGCTCAAAGTCATTGACGTCAATTGGGATTTCTCTGATGGCCAAAACGGCCTGAAGTTTAGTTGTTTGCTCCCCATTGGGGTACAAATCGAAAATGTGTTTAATTTGCTTAAAGAATACAACTGCAGTTCGTTGATCATCGTGTATTTACACAAAAATGAGCCCAAAATCAGTCGGTTTTGGGAATCTCACCTATTTAAAATAATCCAAAATCAGTCATTTAGAATCAACTTTTGAAAATCATCCGAAAATCAATCAGGTGTTTTTTTGGATACTACACGAAAAAATAACTAAAACAATCATAAACCATCCCCCAGTCATCACCATTTCTATAGGTGGTATGTATAATCCATTCGTCATGGCTGGTTTATGGCATAACCATTGAATAGACCATTAATAGACCATTAATAGACCATTAATAGACCATTAATAGACCATTAATAGACCATTAATAGACCATTAATAGACATCATTGTACATATACAAACCCCATTAAACCACCATTTTTCATGGTCAAATCCCAGTCATGGGGTGGTTTCTGGCTGCGCCGACCTGCGTCCTCTCCAGCCATGATCTCGCGGTGAGCCCGGGGAGTGGACGGGCGAAGTCCTTGCTTTCTCGATCAGTCAAGTTCAGAATGGAACACAAATAACTAGATATCAAATATCTATCTATCTATCTATCTATATATATAGGGACATATGTATATATATAGGGACATATGTATATATGTATATATATGTGACATATATTGTGACATATATTGTACATATATTGTGACATATATTGTGACACATTATATATTCAATATTATATATATAGTTTTTCACATTGGTATCATTAGTATCTGTATACTTAGATAGATAGATGAATAATATGTGTGTAAGTATAATTTACATAATATACATATGATATCAAATGATGATTAAAAATCATCCTATATAATTCAGAATACAAAAAATATCCTTGTGAATTGGGGGAGATTGTTCATTGATTCCATGAAAGCCTTGAAAAGTTGGGGAATAGGTCATTTTGTTTCGTCCTGGACAAGGAAAACATAGACCAAGTGTCAATACCGCAAACCCGATGTGCAGCTACAAATGGATTCTTCAACCCAGTGTTCGCAAAGGGAATTTCAACCCCAGTTGGAAATGATTGAATACCTCAAAATCAACTGGTGAAACCTCAAAATGGTCAATCCATGCTAGAAAATGTCGCGGCCCAAGGTGCTCTTCTGACTTGCGCGCCATCTCCAGGTCAGGCACGCCGCGCCCACCTTGTAATGCAAGGAAACTTCTGGAAAAAACAGAGCGTGTTTAACAACTTTCCTGGTTGCTGGGTTTTCACCCATCCCAAAAACATACTCATCATCTCAACCAATCATCCCAAGTAACAGTCATGTAGGGTACACCCAATGCCATCTTTACCATCCCCAAGTCATCAGCATTGTTGAACCCTGGCGCCTCGCCGTTCCGCCGTAGATGGGCGCATGGCATCGCAAAAAATGTCCGCCTGGCTGGACCTCAGCTCAACAGTCTAACATGTGATGTGTTTTTTTGGCATGTTATATTTCTTAGATCCAACCCAACTGGATAAAACATGATAAAACCAAGCAAACTGTGGATGTATGCAGGTCATCTGCTCATCCTTTGGTAAACTAAACGATTTGCCTGCGAAATGCTGGGACCAGAATTGGATGGCATCAAGTGAGATGAGTTCAGTGGTCTGCCAAAGTCATCATCTGTCATGTCAGGCCCACCTTGAGCCAAGTCTGACGCAACACAAGAACTTACTTGTACTCAAATGGCGAGATGGAAATTGGCTCATTTCTCAAATAGATCATCATCTTGCATCACCATGTTTCCGCTTTACAGCCTTTGCTGATAGTGAATATGTCCATTTTGTGGGACGGCAATCTTTGGAAGCACCCAGGTTTGACTTTGTGATGAACTGAAGCGTGGCTTTGTTTGCGAGGGTGCCACTGTTTTGCGTGTCGAGCCATGCCGCTACCTGACCTGGATAAATGCCTCACGAGGTTTGCCCGCGACTATGAGGCACGAGGCATGAAGCTTCTGAAGTCAAGTTTGGGGCGAAAATCAACATTCAAACTGGGCAGCCTCAAGACAAACATCCATGATTCCGATTTGGAGGATGAGAAAACGGCACTTTTGGCCAAAGTTTAAAACTTGGCGCGACCTTCAGTTGCCACCAGTTTCACTGGCAGTGGTCAGAGGCGGGGTAACCCCCGGCCGGTTTTGGGGTGGATGGCATTTTAATAGCCATTTATAGCGATCTGGTCATTCACATTTTCGGGGGGATGACTTCCTCAATGATCAACTGTAGTTTCATCCACCTCTCACCGTTGCACCAGATTAAGCCACCGCCAATAGCCACATCCAGGTCTTGGTCCTTCAAGGCAACCTGACAAGGGGAGGTAACTAGGGGTAAAACCAGTCATGAGATCTGAGTAACTAGGTGTTTCTTTCCATCAGTACCCAGATTCACATCTCTGTCAGTAAAGTCATGACACAAACTTGTGATCTTGTGTTATCTCATGAGCATACTGTTGCACATCCCTACCAAATCCATTGGGACACAGGCAAGGAGACGACTTTAGAAGCACCTTTGGGCCACTCGTTGGAAGATCATCAAAAAGCTAAGCGTCCGTTGGGCCTGGCTGCACAGGACCACAATTCTGTTCGGTCCTCAACTCCCTTTCCCTCGAGTTGAAATAGATGCCACATGATGCCACCGAAAAAAAAATGGTGAATCTCCAGGCCAGAATGAACTCGAATGATCCCAGAAGGACCTGGAGGTGCGACCCCGGGACTTCCTCAGCGCATTTCTGCTGGGGACTGATGGCCCAGATGGAGATTTACCAGCCATGGGCCATGAGCCCATGACTGATATCAATCACTGGTCATATTGGAATATCTTCCAAGCATAAGACTCCCCGGATCTGGAAGTCTTTAGCAGTGTTCAACTGCTGAAGACTCCTCCATTTCTTTAAAAATTCCCCCATCCCCCCATGTGCTATTGAAATTCAATCCCCATAGTTGGTGTTTAAGAAATATGCATTTGCTGTTTCAAATTCTAGATCCCCAACGTGTTATCCCATCCAATAGTTTCTCAAAAATGGCCATGGTGTTTCATAGTTGTAAACCCCTGGGGAAATCTTTGAAATCAATCAATCAATCAGTTATCAAAGTTAGAAATCAATCAATCAATTATATATAAAAGTTATACCCTCCAGTAAATTAACATAGACCCTGGCAGTCATCGGGGTTGGAAGATTAGTTTCCACTAAACAATTGGTTATTTTCAGGGTCTATGTTAATTTACCAGAGGGTAAATCCCCATAGGCTTTCCAAAAAATGGGGATGGGTCAAAACCCTCTCCCCCTGTAGTTCACATCAAAATAGCTGGGATTTATGGATGTTCATCCCCCTAAAAATGGTATTAATAGGTATTGATCCATACCCAAATGATCTCCATTTGATGTTCCGCCAGGCTCCCGGGCGGCAGCGCTGCCGCCTCTGCGGCCGCGGCGTCGGCCGCTGCAGAGGCCACGTTGAAGGCGGCGCAGCGCGCCTTCAACCTTTTTAAGAGCGAACCCGAAATCAACGAAACCATGGGTTTACATAAGTATATCATGGGTATAAATATAATATAACATAATATAATATAATATAATATAACATAACATAATATAATATAATATTATATTATATTATATTATCTATATATATATATTGATATTGGTATATATCATGGGTATATATCATGGGTATATATCATGGGTATATATCATGGGTATATCATGGATAAATCATGAATATAATGGGTATGGGTATAATGATCTAATGTGGGAAACCCTAATACCATAAAACCTACCATTTGGGAGATGATAAACATCAACCCATAAAAATGGTGATGACTTGGGGATAGTTTATGGGATTCCCTTTGGTACAGGGGTTGGCCAGAAACGATACTGGTTGAAACCCTTTCCTAACAATACTGGTATGGGGGATATATAAACCAATTTGTTTAGTGGGTTTATTTGGAATCAACCAAATATTAACTGATTTTATGGGAATGTAAGCAATTTCACAGGGGATTCAATAAATTGTGAATGTGTTTCAGCATTTCAATTTCTCCGATTCCCCTATTCAATGGTTGAGTCACCCAAATATTAGCAGGATTTAATGGGATATTCTGAGGAACGTAACTACTAATTTAAGGGGATATTTGCAGTGATTCCATGCCATGACCGAACAAATGTGTTTTCCCATATTTGGCGAAAATCCGAAATGGGGTGCCTAAATCGATTGGTTGGGAAATTCCAGAGGAAACCATTGTCTTTATCTCCTTCATCTACTCAATATCAACAGAAATATATTGGATTATTGGAATGTTATCCACTCACCAACTTGTGTTTGCACAGTATCAACGGAAAATGTTGATCGAACTTGTGGTTTACCAAACAAAATGGAAATGTCATAAATCTAACCCACCACGAATGGGAAATCATCTGCAAAAACATGTGGGAATTGAGCCAACCAAAGTATGGAAGGTCGACCAAGCAAACATGAGATATAAACGTATCAAAAATGGAGATTTAAATAGATTTAATATGATCTCATCACTCACAAATAACAAATTGATGTGGATCTATCAAATCAAACATCAACAAATACTGGGGAATTTAAGGGTCAGCAATGTTGAATGCCATATGATTGGCGGCGCTGATGGGTTTCACTGCAACCGTTGCAAGGAAACACGATCAACTCAACCTCGAGGTTGGCCCCCTGCTTTATGGCCATCAAAATTTCGGGATGAGTTCCACAGCAGTTGTGGGGACACCGGGTACACCTCAAGTTAAATAGTTAAATAGTTCAATCAGGACAACAGCAGATATTTCTTCTCCCAACATTTTCACAGAAATCAGAGCTGATCACCTAGGCCACCTAGGGCTCCGACTCCATGACCGTGGTGGCGGTGAAAATCTTCTGCCCCGCAGCCCTCAGGCGGCCGTTCAAGTCGCTGGAGAGGGCCTCCGGAAGAGGGGACAGGTCAAGAGGATCAGCCTGAATCTGGCTGAAATGTGGTTAGTTACGTGTACATTGTAAATATATATATATATATACATATTATATATATATATATATATATAGATATATATATATACCTATATATATATATACATTTATAGTATATATATATATATATATATCGCTCGTCCAGGCTTCTGGAACCACATACGATGGGGTGGGGGGGTGGGGTGGGATGTTAACGTTCATGTGAACTTGCGGCAGCAGTTGATGCTACGCACACGCGGGGGGGGGGGGGTGGGGTGGGATGTTAACGTTCATGTGAACTTGCGGCAGGATGTTAACGTTCATGTGAACTTGCGGCAGCAGTTGATGCTACGCACACGCGGGGTGGGGGGGGTGGGGTGGGATGTTAACGTTGATGTGAACTTGATGGCTGATGATTAACATTGATGATGAATTGATGATGATGTGATGATGATGATGTGATGATGATGATGATGATGATGATAATGACCCTAATGAAACTTGTTAATTCCGCGACTAAATTTCGTCACGGAATGGACAAGTTTTACCAACCTAATTCAGGTTTGCGCGGTTCCAGAAGCAGGGACGAGGCTATATATACATATTATATATATATATGTATTATATATATACACATATTATATATATATGTATTATATATATATACACATATTATATATATATACATATTGTATATATATATATATTATATCTATATACATATTATATATATATACATATTATATATATGTATATATACATATTATATATATACATATTATATATATATATTGTATATATATATATATTATATCTATATACATATTATTTATTCATATATATACATATTATATATATACATATTATATATATACATATTATATATATATATACATTTAATATGTATATATATACATATTATATATATATACACATATTATATATATATACATATTATATATATACACATATTATATATATATACATATTGTATATATATATATATATATTATATCTATATACATATTATTTATTTATATATATTTATATATACATATTATATATATATATTGTGTGTATATAGAGAGAGAGGTATTTTACGAATATTGTGGGAGTATCATGGGAAACTTCTGGGAGATTGTTGGTGATTGAACCAGCAATAAGCAGCAATAAGTGGGGATATTGATGGGGTATACTAGGAATGTTGTTGATTTATGGCAGGAAATCCTGAAATTTGGCGTTTAAGGCACTATTGTGGAGAGACTATAACAATTCACTAACCTAGAAAGTTCGGCTATTTTTGAATGCTGGCGGTGTACTTACCCCTACAAATCTTATCATTGCAGTGATGTCAGAGTGACTGTACAAACCCTCAAGCCGTGTTTGATCGTTTTCGGATGAAGAAGTCACCAAAAATAAACTGAGAAATTAAAATCCCCCAAGTAAATGATATTCAATGAACCACAACAAAGATTGAACATGGGCTAATCTCGTCAGGTTTCTGGTCAAGGTCTTGAACAAGAGAAATATCCTCAGAACCTGTGCCCCAGGCGGCCTGTGACAGGAGCGGAACATTGGTCACTCCAATCACACCAAGCTTCTGCCTGGCAGCTTCATCTGAGGTTCTCAGGAAACACAGGCGCTCCAGGCACCGATCGGCAGAACATGGAGGCTGCACATGGCAGCTTGGAGGTCCGACTCGGACCTGAATGGCTGTCCAAGATGGGATCCATTGGGAAATGATCCATCTTTTCCATTGGAAAATGGATCCATTGGGCCATTGGGAGTAGGATGGAACCATTGGAATGATCATATCATAAGATCGTTTCGAAGGAGGTGGAACAAATTGGAAAAAATCGAAACGATCTTATGATATGATCATCCCAACCTGCCAATCTGCTTGGGCGTGGACCACCCTGGGCGCGCTTGTTGCAGCACTTGCCAGAGCTCTGCATCCTGTACCACTGGTGAAGCAACATGTAAGTGGGCTTCCGAAGGGTGAGAAAAAAGGTAATCTAGAAATCATACGTTGATGAATGAATACATGAAGTCATGTATTCTGAATGTTCACCACATTCAACAATACATCCCAGAAAACACAACAAAAAGTTGACGCAGTGGGATCACTTGGGATCTGCCAAGTCACTGGAGACTTCGTAGGAGCTGCCTCCATTGAGCCTCAGATGATTTCTGGCTCTGCCGGCGCCACAATGACGACAGTTGAGTTCCGCACTCGCAGGCGGTTCCTCCTGCAGTGTGTCCACGGGCGCAATATCTTCCTATGTCTGGCCCAGTCATGATTGTGATTCCTAATCTCACCTGTAGCCTTCTACATACATGTTTGAAACAAGGTGATAGATGAGTTTTTGGGATGTTCAAATCCGAAATGACTTGAGAACGAGATACTGAGATACCCATACTTCCCCTACCTTTCACTTGTTGGGCATAGAAGCCAAAAAGCAAGCGCTGATATTTTTGTCCAAGGTGATACACCACTTAAATACCTGAAGAATTGATATGGCTGTGTATGTCTGAAAACGGGGGAGACTTATATAGAACCCATGGATCTTCGCAATTGCAATCAAACATGAACTGTTGGATGTTGGGTGCCCCTAATTCATATTGCTTAGACTTCCTTACCCAACAAAACGAGTGGTTTGAGACCAGAAATGACTCGCCACGGGTTCGTGAGGGCCTCTGCTGCAGCCGCCAAAAGGGTCGGATTCATCCACAAGTCCTGGGATGTTGCTGAATTGGATAGCCAACAAATTGGCGTTATTGATCATGGTTAGTCACTACCAACAGTGGTTATATATATATATATATGTATATATGTATAACAATTACCCATTGATGGTTGATGTTCTCCCAAGTGAGGATGCTAATGATCCAAAGAAAGCCTGTTCTGAATCCACATGGCCGGGTTACGGCCGTAACACCACATGCTGATGCGCTTCCTCCATGGCCATGGACAAGCAGAAGCTATTGACGCCTCGGCAATCACGGAACAGTTCAACACTGTCGAAGCACTTCTTCAAGTGTCGAAGCACTTCATCTCGGAGCATCCCGAAGCAGTCACTAAGCGTCCAACGAACGGCTTGCAGCATGAAGTTCAAGTTGCTGCGCCTACAAAATCCAAAATCTGCAAACGGAAACTCTACCTTCTAGTCAAAACCAGCTGGAACATCCCAAGTTTTCATATTAATATGATGTTGTTGTTAGTATATGAATATCAATGATGTCCCAGGGCCAACTTCTAGGCTTTTGCGGATCTTTTTCTTGGCCCAGCCACTCACATTTTCGCAAACGTGCCAAGGTACAGTGATCTGCAGGCATATTTCAGCGCTCGCCAGTTGCTTTTAACCTCACATGGCTTTCTATGTGAGGGTCACCGGAAGATGGCTTTCGGAGGGAGAGAAACCAATGAAATGATACGTATGATTATATATAATTTGTAATGTATAATACATATATAATGTGTATGTATATATATATACATATCTCATGTGTATAATATATATATATATATATTCTGTATTACGTATATATATATATGAGCAATCTCGAAAACCCTAGGTTCACGGAAGGACATCCACAAATTTGGGAAGGTCCCATCGCTTACCACACGTTTGTACAATAATGATATATGGTAAATGTGGGGGGTATCGCTTGCAGGAAACTGCTACATTTATATATATATATTGTATAATTCACAGAAATCAACGTCCAATTTGGGTATCCCTAATGTGGATATTAGAGAAATACAATGACATAACCTTGAAAAGGGATATCGCTAATTTGGGAAGGTCCCATCGCTTACCGTGTGTTTTCAACGATTTCCATCAATTTTCATAAACCAATGTCCGTCCAATACATATTTAGTATTGCCGGGGTTTTTGCGGTGGCTCATATTATGTATATACATAATATGTATATATATATATACATATCATATATATATATATATGATATTTTTTCCCAGGGGCACAAAGTAGCACTCAGCTGCGGCCTGGCTCCAATTCGAAGTGAAAAGATCCATGTCCTCAACCAGCATAGTCGGGGCCTGCACACGTGCTTAGCTCTGTCACAAGGAGCCCTTGCACTGCCCTTCGAAAATGCTTGGATGGGACCAAATTCTGGTCAACAGGATGACCATGTAAAGACTGTACAAATCCGCTGGCGAGTCCGCCACAGAAAGCTGGCGGATACTCCTTCAAGCTGCTCGTTGCCCATGTGCCATCCTCCTTCAAACCGATCGAGGCCGCTCTCGGAGGGTCTCCAGTGATCTGCCATGCTCTCAGTTCCTTGATCATGGCTGGAAGATTGAGAAGGAGGAGGCCTGTCGGTTTGCGGCTGGGAGCACCCCACAAACCTTGGGCCACCTCGATGAAATCGAACTCTGGCCAACTCAGCAGGTAGCGCATGATCGGTAAGCGCCACACGCTCGCCTTGTCTGTGTCCGCCGGCTCTGCGGGATGCTCCATGCCTCCTACGCCACCCGCGATCGCCAGGTTGATCAGGAGTTCGAGGGTGAACAAAAGAAGCAAGTTCCCTGTATCCAGCTGTGCAATCTCCCTGAGTCCAAGGGAGCATTTGCCCCCACAGATCCAGCAAGTCCCTCAGCACTCTGGGGGGTCTCCGCATAGAAGCCATGGCATCGCTACCCGCCGGTCTTCCCCTGGCCTGAGACCACGTCTCGCAGGGGGGCCCTGCAAAGGCACCCACCACAAAACGAGCACGTACTGCACCTAACCAAAAGGCTCGTACATCTTCGCGTGCAACGTCTCCCCAACAAGGATCAACCATCAGGTCGACTGAAATGGTGTGCAAAAGTGTGGCTTCATGGAGTTTCTGTGCCTGGTCAATGAAGTGTTGTAGATCGCCTAGGCGGCGTCTGCCGGAAAAGGCGTGGATCAAATATCGTTCACGTGCCATTGGCCTCGGCACCGGCCACAGAGGCCCTCTATCTCCACCTGCAATGGATGCCTCCAGACATTGATTCTCCAGTGCTTCCAAACGTCCTCTGAGGTCTCGCTGCCCTCCCCGTTGTGGACAATCCTCCAGGAAAGGCCATGCCTGCGTGGTGGTCAGGTACTTCAGGAGGTGCTTGATGTCAATGTCCCCAATGTCCAAGACCTCGATGTCCTGGTCGGAGAGCTCCTCGAGCAAGTAGGCCAATGTTGCCCTACAGGAATGCCAGGATGTAGGATGCGTCCCAATGACTTGGCGCACCTCTTGCTCAACCAGATCATCTGCAGTGCATTCCGTAAGACGTAGGTAAATCTTCTCCGCCAATTCCAAATCATGGTCCGGAATCGCTTCCGGAACTGACTCTGGTAATTGCGGTCCTGCCTGTCGAAGAGGTGGAAGTAACCCATCATGTGCTTGGCAAAGCTGCTGGTCAACTGCTGAGCCACATCCATGGGTTGGTGCATAGTATCTTCTGCGTCCCCAAAGCCTCTGACTGCATGATGCTGAACGCTGAAGGTGCGCTTGGAGTTTGCTGAGGGTGTGGTACTCCTTCATGCATGCATCGCAGCTGGTGGTATTGAAGAGCAAGCGAACCTTGGCAGTAACTTGGTGCTTCTTGTTCATGTGCGCACCAAGGCCACCCTTGCTGTTGAAAAGTTTCCTACATGTCATACATGCGAAGCTCTCTTCAGTCTCGTGAATGGTGGCGGTCCAGCCGATGGGTCCGAAATGCTCTGGCTGGATTGTGTGGAAAGTCGCGCAGAAACCAGCATGGAAACGCTCAACCCGGTGCAGCCGGGCTCGTTGTTGTATGGCATGATCTCCTGCTCAAAGATACTCCCAAGCAGGAAAATGTTGATCCGGATCAGGTAGATGTGATGCATCTTGCAATTGCATCCACACCCAACGCAGGTCATCATGTAGCAGTGCGATCCATTCTCTGTCGCTGTTGATGAGGCCCCATGGTACAAGATCCCTGCACTTGTACAAGGTGCCAACATACCTCAATCGCGAGAGCCGCAAGAGCTCTGTAGGGCTGTTGATGCCTGTCGCGACCAGGACATCCTCATCGCATGCATGATGATCTGGCTTCCACCGCAGGAGTCTCTTGAAAAGTCGAAGAAGGCCATTGTGAATGTACTCCTTGTGCTTGAAATCTCCAAACGTCCATGACTCCGTGCCATAGCTAAAGCGGCTCATGATCAGGGTCTTGAACAGCTCGGTGCGTCTCTGTAGGCTAAGATGGGGATTTTGCAGAAGGTGTCGTCTATGTTGCGTGAACGCTCCTTGTGCAATACCCATGCGTCTTTTGGCCTCTTTGCGATTGTCCTTCTTGTGGTGGATGATGCATCCCAAGTGGGAGTAGCTGGATACAACTCGAACTTGTCTGGCACCTCCTTCTCCGACAATGCAAAGACTCGAAGGGGAATTGGGCCCAAAATACTTGACCTTCATACGCCTTGATCCATGTCCCTGAAAGGTCAGAAGCACCTCCGTCTTGCCAGCTTGTAAGTTTGGAGTCAGGCCATGTGCGTCGCAAAGATGTAGAAGCCCTCCTGTGGCATGACAAATCTTCTGCTCCAGCCGGCAAGGATCTGCATCAGAAACGCAAACGCATGTGTCGTCCATCCAAGTTGGCCCTAGAAAACCACATGATGCGCGATCTGGCCACTGCGCAGGAGTCAGGTGGATTCCGTCGTGGTGAGGGATCTCTGCTTCAAAGCCCATCTCATGCATCTGAACTTGTAGTTGTTTGAGCAGGCGCCCCCACAAATAAGAGAATATGACGTCCGCAAAACAATCTCCCGGCCTGGACCCAAGTCGAGTGCGGCAGTGATCCATCTGGCCCTTCACATGGAAGTGGGTGTCCACGTGCAACGCTTTCAAGGTGTTCTGCATGTGAAAGGGCAAGCAGGCTTGGGCAACAGCCGGTGGCTCTGCAAGATGTTGATGCAAATCACCAAGCAAGTCTTCAGAGAGTCCCAATCTCGCCCCGACCTGAACAATCAGTTCGTCGTCAATGTCCCCGCCCACGATGAGTGGCCGGATGATGCGGTAGAACGCTTCCGTCAGGTCAAGGTACAACATAGCAACATTATGCCCTTGACTCCGCTGTGCACGTAGAAAAGCCCTTCCAATGTGGACACCCAGTGTTACTGGGACTTTGGGTCTTCCGCCCAATTGCTCCCGCTGTAGGTATTGGGTGAAGAGCGTGCACTGGTGTTGGCGAATGCGGCGATGCAAACTTTTGCCGATGTGGCTCGATATGAGAATGCTCCGGTAGGAGGAACAAGTGTCCTTCCTACCCTTGCCTTTCCAAACTGGTTGTAGCAGCCCGCCCTTGTGTTGTAGATCTTCTTGTCCGTGGACTGTGAGCTTCAGAAGAGCCCCATACAGCTTTCGCGCCAGCCGATGTGGTGTCGCACAGCAGATCCCAGGATGGATTCTGTCTGGCCCCACGGCCTTGATGGGGTTCACTCTCCTAAGCGCAGCTTCTAAATCAAGGAGCCGTGGAAGCTGGTTGGCCTGAATGTCAAACTCCAGTTGCCTCAGCTCTTCAAGGTTGTGAATCCATAGCTCTCGTTGCTGCGCTAGGTCAACTCTACAACCTCCCTCCATGGTGCCAAAAAAGCCTAGCCATGTCTCGATGATCTCATTCGGCAGAGTACAAATCTCGCCATTCTCCTTTCTCACATGCGGCAATGTACTCTGTTTGAGCTTCTTGAGATTGGAAGGCCCTAGGATGGGTTTGAGAACGTTCAAGATCTTGGAGGCTGGTGCCCCTTCTGGTAAAACCTCGATCTGTTGTTGGATGAGGTCTTGTTTCGCCCTCCGAAGGACTTTACGGAGTCTCTTGCAGTCCGCGTGATATTGAGCAACAAGTCGTAGATTCTTGATGTCGAGAAAGATCATGTAGGGCTGGAAGCGCTCAGTGATGCTACCGACCACCTCTGAATTCTCAGCCTTGTGGCGTCTCCACAATTGGAAAATGGAAACAAGTCTTTCATCACGCCGTCTGCATTTCAAGTCTTTCAACTGGCCGTTGACCATGAGCTTGTCCTTTCGCAGCGCCCAAGCTTCATCATTGACATATTGTTTCTTGGCTGCCGGTTGTGGTCGAGGACATATCTTGTGCAGGCCATCCAAGATGGTGTAGTTAAATTCATTGATCTGTGTCTCGATGTCTGTTTCCCAGCTATTCGGTTGGTACAAGTCGAGGGCTTGTTCAACTTTGTCCGGGCTCAGTTGGGAGATATCGAAGCTGATCTGTTGGGTTTGTTTTGCGCTGGGTTGTGGCATGTTCTTGCGCCATCTCAGGTCTACAGCTGTGGCCTCATGGTCCCAGACTCCGGGGCTGATGTCAAACTCCTGAACTGTCCGGGACAATGTACATGCATCTCGAAAACCTTCAGAGAGGAGGACATAGTCAATGCAGTAGGAGTGCAGCCCGCTTGGATCTGTCCATGTGTTTCTGGCTCCGTCATGTACTTCCGTAGTGCAGGGTAGAAAAAGGTTCTGCGTCTGCACAAAGTCACGTAAGAGGGGCGTGGCTGATGACGTGGGCAGATCACATGTGAAAACAGCTGAGCCATCATATCCTCCCGGGGAGGCGTTGGCATCAATCAGGACAATCATCTCATCATGTGGTTGCCTGTGATGTGCAATTTCCTCCAAATGTGACCACCATTGCTGTCTTTCTTTGAAGCTGATGCCACTCTGAGGAGCGTAGGCCACAATGATCCAACATCTCCAGAATCTCGTTTCGATCTGGGCCATGAGGATGCGAGAGTCCTTGTAGACCACCGTAATGTCTCCAGTTTCCAGGAAGCAAGGTCGGCCTTTGACATATGCATAGGGCTGCTCCAGATTGATCCAGAGTTCAACTCCATGATGATGTTGGTCGCATCCAGAGGCCATCCTGTAGATCTTGTCCACGTAAGAGCAAAATTCTGGGGTTCTGGATTCCTGAAGCCCAAGGAAATTGAACTTCAGAGCCTTCATTTGCTGACGAATATAATGAACTCTGCCAGCATATCCCTCGTTGCCAGAACTCAAAGACCCAACATTGGCCGTACATGCGCTCAATGCGAAGTGGACAGGTACATGGCATACAGGTTCTGACGCTATTGCACGAGATAGTGCAGGGCATGGAAGCGAAGGAGCTGGAGCATGGAAACCCTCTCCACAAAAGCTGGGGACATCAAGGTCCTTGTTGAAGAGCATCCAAGCATGTCCAATTTCTCTCCTCCATTTCGGTACATCCAGTGCAGGCCTGGTACAGTAAAAGCTCTTGATGCGCTCCTGCTTGGCCAACCAATCGCATAGCTCATTCCATGCTTCGCCCGCATGTCCTGGCACATGTGCATAGAGAACCTCATTGGGAGCAAGAGCCGCTTCAATCGCTTGGAACGTTGCCCTCAGGATGGTAAAGCTCTCGTCCATGGAGAGGGAGCCCTTAGTTCCTTCTGCCTGACCCAGTGCCGTTCTAGAGTCAGACCTGAAACACGTATCTATTCTCCAGTTTTGACTCAACCGCCACAATGCTGCCCAGGTAAGCCCTTCACGCTCTGCCATGTCTGCACCTAGTCGATGGGCTCCAAGATGCATCTTGCTGGTGGCATCATAGTGAACTGCCTGCGCGGACCATCCCAGAAACTTCAGTCCAGGTGGGTCATATCGCTCGCCCAAGACCAAGAATGCCCACGTATCGCCTCGGCCTTCTTCTTCTGCCAAGAGTGGTGGAACATGTGGCAGGGATCCCAGAGACGAACCATCTGTGTAGATGATCAAACGGTCCAGGTCAGCGTTATCAATGCTGGGGTCGCATCCTGCAAGGGCCTGAAGCGCTACATCCGGAGGAGAAAGATTGCCAAAGTCCTTGTTCAAGACCTGATCATGGGAAGCAAATAGCTCCTGAATGTCAGATGCCCGCAGTTCCGTTCTGATAAGTTGTTGACTGGCTGCCTCGTTGCCTCCGGTGTAGAAGGGCTCCAGTCCTCGGCTCCCTTTCCGATGTCTTGGCCAGTTCGGGGTGGGTCTCGCAATTGACTTCGTTTTCATCATCACCACTTGCTGATTCTGAAAGGTGATCTTATGGACCCCTTGCCCCAGGTTGTGCTCAGATAGTACCACAGCTCTCCAGTATCCTAGTGCATACAGATGTCGCAGGATCTCGTTGATGCTCATCTTCTTTTGTGCAGTGTGCAAGAAGATCGTGTCAAAGTCCTGCATGTCCATGTTGACAAAGACATAGTGATGTTGTGTCCCTTCACCATGATCAGCATGTAGGCATACTACTGTGTCTCGTTCCTCACAAAGAACCGCGTGGCAACTAAGACCCCATTTCGCTAATTCTTCATGAGTAGCAGCCTCCGTCACTGGCTGGTTGAGTTCGATGAAGGATGGATGGGGGCTATTGCTTGCTGCCCAAACAACACGTAGCACTCGAACTTCGTCATTCTGGTGCGCTGGAATTGCTTCTTCCAGACTGACAACTCTCTTGGCCTTTGTTTGGAGTAGGTTGAGCCCTCCTGTGCTGGAGCTTGCCGAACTGCTTGCTGCCGCTCTGTTGACGATGTCCCTAAGATGATTCTGGATGACCAGGAAGCTGTCGCCATGCCTTGCAGGAAAAACTTCTTCATGGTCCAATAAATGATCACCATGCCAGACCATGCAGTCAATCAAGCTCTCAACCATGTGCTCCTGGAGGATGTGGAGATGTGTCAGAAAGAATCTTTTGCGCAAGTTCCTAGGTCCAGCCGTGACCAGCTCTCTTTTCTGTCCTGGTTCTTGATCTGGATCTAGAGCCATGATGTAGAGGCTTCGCAGCTCCGGCAAGGCATGTTGCACAATGACGACATGAGGAACAGTACCATGTGGAGGAGGTTTCACAAGGTACATGTCAACCTGCGCATCAGGATCAATTCTGTCATCCCAGGCTTCTGCAATGGTGTCTTGCCAACTCCAGGGATTCTCCCGTAGTCGGACTGGTCTGTCCTCATCACACTGTGGAAATCTGTGATGGTCTGTGTACCATGTCCTCACATACAAAACCCTTCCTTCTTCTGCTTGTTCAACTGCTGCAAGTTGTGTCCAAACAGGAAAGAGGATCTGCAAGAAGTTGGTCGTTTCGCCAAATCTCAATTCTGGCCGTCCTTCTTCAGCCGGCATCTCATCCGAGACTGTAAGACTGGGCGGTTCTCTGCAGTCCTCCTCAGTAAGTCTGCAATAAATCTCAGGAGGATCACATCGCCCAGAGAGAAAGGGTGGCCATTCGTCAAATGGCGGGACACTCCAGCCGGGCAACTGGAAGAGAGCCATAGCATCCCTGTCATAGTCCAAATCAATGGCCCTGGGCACATAGTTGAAAGTGTCCACAACTGGCATGTCCACAACATTGATTCCATCTGGATGCGCTTCTAAAACTGCAGGAATATTTGATGGTCGATAGCCTCTTCGGAAACATTGCGCAACTTCTCGTGTGTAAAATTTTTTGAGGGTGCCTCTTCCTGGTGGTACAACCACTTTGAGATAATCTCCATGGTTGAAGTTCAGAAGGGCCCTGGTCTGTGTTTTCACCTGTCGCATGTTGTGCCAAACCAGGCAAGCATTTCTCACATAGCGGCAATGCGCTTCCAGTCCCAACAATGCAATGATGGCCTTGCGAGACACAGTCATGGGCAGCAACTTGACCCTTCTGACTGTCTCAGCTTCAAGAGATGGCTGCGCATTGTGAAATTCGACATCAACCAGCACCATCTGAAAAGTGGATCCCTCAGTGAGATCATCTGGCTTCTGCGCAATGAAAGGCTGGATTCTGGCAGAGTGTAGATCCACTGGTATTGCTTGAACTGAGTGAAGGAGTGTGATGTCATGGATGCTGAGTTCCATCAAAACCGCTATGTCCTTGTGCAACTTTTCATAGGAGCTCCATCGCGGTCGACAATGTAGAGGATCTCTGTCCAGCGTGAAGACAACAGCGGGCCTTCTAGGCTCAGCAGTGTCTGACTCGCTGGAGGACGTGTCTGCATCTTCAACTTCCTCAACTTCAACTTCAACTTCCATGAGCTCTTCGTTGGCAAACGCAGGATCTCGTTGGTGTACAGCACGATCATCATCAAAGACTGCTGCTGCATCACGATTCCTAAATGGTTGTAGCTCGGGGCCAAAATGGCCGGTCGACATCCAGGACACATGGTCAGCCTCCCAGGACTGTGGCGTCGTCGTGGATGTCAAAGAAGTGAAACATGTGGATGTGCTTGGATGGAAATTTTCATCTGTACCTTCCCCTGTAGAGCTCCTACTCCCCACATAGGTCTCAGGGAAATCATAGAATCTCACCTTCCTGCTTGACGTCCTGCTTCTCTTCGGTCGCATAGACGTAGAGGAACACATGGAGGAAGACGGTGAAGACAACAAAGTCCCCATCTCCCACGCAAGATCCAAGCCATCAATTGATGCCTTCCAGACTGTCGTGAAATCTGGATCATAGGTGAAGCTGTGGCTCCAGTTCAAAAGAACCGCATCCGAGCCGGTTCTGAGCCCATAGCAGGTCTCCACTTGGTCTACTTGCCGGGCTTGCCAAAAGGCTGCATGGCTTGCGATTGCAAGCCACTGGAACCTTCTCCTCCAGCAGCTTCTCCTGGCGCCTCCAATCGAGGTCTCTTGTTCTTGTTCTCTCCGGCCTCCAAAATTGCTGCTTCTGCCTTTTGGTGAAGCTCTTGCAAACTCGAGACCATGGTGTGGATATTGGCCTGGATGTTCTCGGTCGTGTCGATCTTGTCCGGCATCTCGTCGTCCGTGACCTCCACAAGCGTGTCCTCCTCGAGCTCCTCCAATGCCGTCTTTTTTGTATCCACATCTACTTTTGTTTCTTGTAACTTCTCCTGCGCTGTCTTGACTTTGGCCGCAAGCTCCTGGTCGTCCTTGGCGAACTGCTCTGCAAACTGTGTCCATCTCTTCACAGAGTCTGCCAGGTACTTGCGCCAGTTTGAATGTAGGTTTGCACGTGCTTTTTGTGCTTCCTTCAATTTCTTTCTTGCTCTGTCCATCTTGTCCACAGCAGACTTCAGCCCTTTTGCGGTCGGCACCGGTGCAGAATTTTCTGAAACGATATGCTGCACCTTGGCGGGCACCGAAATGTTGGACTCCGCAAGAGCCGTTGCCAGCAGCACCAAGTTCTCGGACGCCTCCTGCCCCTCTTCGCCCGCTGTCTGCGATGCCGTCGCATCTCCTCTGTACTGCGAGTGCCAGGGTGGATCTGGTTGTGGCGCACTGTATTGCTGCTGTTGCTCTCCTGACTTGTGGTTCTTCTTCTGCTTCTGCTTGGGTGTCTTTGGGCGTGGTGTGCTGCCTCGGGCGCTCCCCCTGGGCTGCTGATTGCCTTGTTGCCATCCTTCGGACCATGTGCTGTCGCCCCAATAGTCGTTGGCTTGCCAACCAGTGTAGCTCCAGGACCCCTTTCTTGGACTTTTCGCCCGGTCCTTCTGTGGTACATACGTCTGGTCGTTGCCGTGGGACCACTTGATGCCGCAACGCGCACACTTGTCCGTCATGGCCTTGTTGGTCCGCCAGCAAAAACTGCACCTCCAGTCTACCTGTGACTGCGCCATTTCTAACGCAATCAGGCGTAGAAAACGCCTGTCCCTGGAATGGTGGCTGCAAAGTGTACCAAACACCCTCTGAAGCTCCTGCTTCGATAGGATCCTGGCACCTGTTCTGTGCCTGTGCCACAAATGGCGCGCAAGTGCTCGCTGTCTTCTTTGTCTCCGGCGCCACGTAGTACAAGCCGTCGTACTTGCACTCAGCCAGAATGAGGAAGAAGAAGACCTTATAGAGAATGCCCATAAAACACCTTGCCCTGCTTAAAGAAGTCTTCCAAGCCGTAGAGCAGAAAGTGGAAAAAGGCCGCCCAGCCCTTCACGGTCTGGACCTCCTGCTTCGTCTCGTTGAAGGCCGAAATGGGCCCGCAGGTTCGCGACGAAAGAACCCGCTAAGGCGGTTGGCAAACGCGGTCGTGGGGATGACCAAACCCTGCCTTAAGCCTTATATATGATATGTATATATAGATATACATATTATGTATATATAATATGTAATTATATATGTATATACACATAAATGTTGAAAAAAGAATGAAAAAGAAAGGTCTGCCAATCAATGCTTCTCTCAAAAAAAGACTTCGGCTCTTTGACTCCATCAAATTCTGACCTGCCCTTGCTTCACTAGGCATCGAACAGCCGCCATGATCAAATCGGGGTCGGCTCGCAAGTCTATGCTTGCCTCAGTGATGCATGAGATGTCTCTGCAGTGCGAGTGGGATATACTGTTGTTCTGTTCTACCAACCATCAGTTGAGATACACAAGTAAATTCTATTGCTCACATGCATTAAATTTCAGCTGGCTGGTACAGCAACTGCATGCACTTCAGCAAGAACGCCAATCTGCCTGTCTTGTGTTACAATGTATTACAACCACGGCAATCCATCAAACCATGTTTCTTCTGAAGCGTCTGTCAAGGTCTTGAAGCGAAAGGACCCTTTGAGTGGATCTGATTTGACTAGTCGCAGCTAAGATACCATTGCGGTTGGCTAGTAGTTTATTGATACAACAAAGGGATACCCTCTGGTACTTCAACATATCTATGGAAAGTGGTCCATTTATAGATGATTATTTACCTACTAAAAGTTATTGCTATTTTCGATAGCTATGTCAGCTTACCAGAGGGTAGTCCATCATTGTGTCGTCCCTTTGCCCTGTCAGCATGAATTCCCATACTGGGATGTTATGGCTGTGACAAAACCAGGTTGTTTTTTCATCAACGATCAATTCTGGCCTGGACATCCCAACTTTATCCAGCTAAAATCCCATATATTCTGTTGTGCCATCTCAAGATCTTGGCACCAACCACTAGGAATCAACTGCACTTAAGTCCGCATTTCAATGGGTAAATTGTGGTAAATTGGATGGTTCAAAGCCGTTTTTCTATACTTCTCACCGGGGCGTGATCCAAGGGACCCCCATTAAGGCCAGCCCATCCACTCGTACGGCTCGGAACATGAACCTTGGCGTACGGCGCTCAGCACCCTCTGTCCAGTGGATGGGGGGTTTTGCATCCAAGTTGGGACCCAGCAGGATTGAAGCAAAACACGGCGCATACACCGAACTTGGTGGGAAGGTCACCGACCATGATGATGCCAAATAAATTGGAATTCAAAGTGACAGCGAGAACGGCGAGTGTGAAAGCCAACATGCGACGATGGTCAGAGAGTCAAATGCAAAATCTGCTCAATTACAGGGAGAACTCCAGGAAAACACAGAAGTGATGGTGCAAGCAGCATGGGGCAACATGGTACAATCGCTGGGTTAGTTGCAGGTAACATGTATAACAACCATGGATTTACAAATCCCATAATTCTGGGACTCTGAATACGCCTCCTGTGGCTTTGAGCCAGGCTCAATTGGAACAGCGCAAATTGGATCTTGGCTCCCGCGCCCAAAGTCACTCGACAGACTCTCATCTGCATAAAGGATCGCTTGGACGTCCTTAACCACCAAGTTCATTGCAGTCAGTCGGATTCAAATATTCAAATGATTCTGGAATCACTTGGAATCACTGTATTCTCAATACCTTTTGGTTGTGTCTCATGTCTGTAATACCAGTACCTTCCATGACATGGACCAATGGACCCGGCTCATCATTCCAAAAGATGAATGGTCAAAATAGCAACAAAACACAACTTCACAAAGATTCAATGTCAATGCTCCCAAAACACAACTTGACCAATAATTCCAATAATGTCAATGCTCCCAGATCTCCCAGATGTTGATTAAAAGACATTAAAAGACACCAGCTGAACCACCACCAGGGTCACCATCAGCACGAAAAACCAGCGCCGCCTGGCGCACAGCCATCAAAACCATCTCCGGATCCCTCCGCAGCTCCAGCGCCTTGGTAGCTGGAGCTGGAGATCCCAAGAAATGAATAGATTGAAGGGATTGAACCCCAAGAAATGTGGGAAACTTTAGGGAACTTTAATGAACTTTATGATTTTCCTATTCCGGAATTTATGATTCAACGAAATGAAGAGATCGACGTGGTGGAAGGGCAACGAAGGTGGGGATTTACTGATATTACTAACCATTCGAAAATTCGGTGATATAACCAAACAAACTGGGTGATCAACGCCAAACTGATGAATTCGGGATTAACCATGTTAAGCCATGTTAAACCCACATAGTTTAGAACGTGCAGACAAGAATGGCGGATCCAACCAATTAGATTCTGGGCTTCGATCAACAGAGATGGTGGGTGCAAGCATGAGGAATGCACACGTTGCCAATGAAATGTAAGTTTCAATCAACAAAATCAGAGTCCTTTATTGAGCCAACCAGAAATGAGCATGCAATCAACATGTCATAGAGTTATGATTTACTCTCAGTGGGAAGCAACACAATAAGCAACAAAGGAACCATGTAGTCGCAACTCTGAAATTTCACACCTTCACAACGGGTGCGCAGAAAAATAGACCCAGGCCATGTTTAAAATGGATCTCATCGCAACAACAAACTGGCTATTTAGATCTATTTCGCTATTCTATGCCATTCTGTTGTTCTCTTAGTTCTCTTCCCTCGCTTCCCCTATCCCTATTCCTGGTTTTCTTTTGCCACAACACTTCTATCTGGTTTCACCAAAATGATCCACCGGTCTTGAAGTTTGACCCGCCAAAGGTGTGGCTCGTAGAAGCCGTGGGTGTCAACTCCAACAGAACGGCACCACCTTGGACTCCAGCGGCAAACTCCAGCGCTTGTCCACTGTTGCCAATGGCGGCCGCAACAACTTCACGCTGGCATCCTGGCGTGACAGGCCCGGCGTGGGAAATCCCAATGGTCGCATAGATTCTAAGGATCTTGAAACCATCGAAAGCTCAGAACTTTGGATATTTTCCACTTATAGATGGTAAATTGGATCACTATCAACCGTTTTACTCTTGAAACCATCAAAAGTCACATGAATTTTCCGCGAATCTCCCTCAGACTCCCGCTCAGCTCATCTGAAGCGTATTTCAAGGACAAACCTTCGATGCCTTAGAGTTGCGATCCCCTGAATCACACCAGGGGACACATTGTCTCTGTGTGTGTGTCTGCATGGTATGAGTTTTCTTATACAGATTTACATGTTGAATATATTTCTTAATATATTCAATATATATTATATATAATATATAATATATATAATATATATAATATATATAATATATATAATATATATGATATATATAATATATATAATATATATAATATAATATATAATATATATAATA